AGCCCATGCTCTGGCCCGCGTGGGTCTACTGCACGCGCTACTCGGACCGGCCTTCTTCAGGTGAGCCCGGGGGACCCCGCCGCGGCAGCCGCGGGGCTAGGGCGGCGCTGGCGCGGGAACTTACCGGGGAAGAAGACACCAGGACCCCCTCCCCCCAAGTACACAAAGACGCACACCGCGACATTTTGTGCGGCTGCCGCTGGCCCGGGCCGCGGCCCGGAGGGAGGGCGCAGGATCCGTTCGCCGAGGTGTACAGACTTCTTAGAACGGCAGGAGCGACAGGACCTGGGCTCCCTCTTGCCTTTCGGGGCCTCTCCGCGCAGCCCCAGCCCCCCAGCCCCTGGCTGGAGTTTATTTGGTGGGAAACGGGGCTGGCTTGGAGCCGGCCGGAAGCTCGCCGCTCAACCCCTTCTCCAATCCTTCCAACTCAGTCTGCTAGACCCAGGACCCACGAGTAGCTCACCCCAGACCTAGATTCATCCTGCGACCCAGAAACCCCAGGTGCAGCTCTTTCCTTGGCCCCTCGCAGGGGCCGCCGACGGAGCGGGGAGCCGGAGAGGGCATGGCGGAAACAGGCACCCTTTGCTCCCATCCCAGTGTTATTTGCACGCCTCGGGGGAGTGCAGCACCCACCTCGCACACAGCTGGGAGGAGGGGGACCTGCGGTACCCCCCAGAGAAGGGAATTCCTCCCGGAGGCTTCCGGTCAGGAAAGGGGTAGGTTGCAGAGAGGGCTGTGTAGGTGCTGGAGGTGCTCTCACAGGTCTGGGTTTTAAAAAGCCAAGGCCAAGTCCTCGTGCAAACCCCAACTGCACTGAGTGCGGGTCTGTGCCCAGCTGGTAACGGACCCCCTGCCCCAAACCCTCCAGTGTTCGCAGAGATTGTATGCCGGGCCGCAGCCCAGCCCAGGCACCCCTGGCTGCCTTGCTGCAGACTCGTATGTCTCTCTCCCATGAAACCCAAATTTCTCCAGTTAGATCTGAAATTTGCTCCATTGTTCTCGCCTCCCTCCTTTGTTAATATTTAATTAACATAGTGGCTCACAATGGGGCCGCGAGGAGCCTCAGCCTCCGCCTCGCTGGCTTTGTGCGCCCGGGAGCAGCCCGCCAAACCCAGCCACAAGGAGCCTGGTAGCGGGTCTTCCCAGACTTAAAACAACAAACCCTGTGAGATCACGTTCGTGTTCCTGGGGTTTCAGGAAAGAGCGAGGCAGAGTTTTCTTGCTGAGGTTTGGTTCTGTTTCCGAGACTCCTACGTGTTTCGTTTTGAAAGAAAATCCAGGAAGAAAGGGAACTAAAGATTCTGCTTTGGAGAGATTTTCTTTCCGTAAACTAGTTCGTGTGTGTGTGTGTGGGGGGGGGGGGCCTGTTCTGTGTCTGCAGGAACCCCAGCAGCAGAGGAGTTTGGGGGGTAAATGTGCTGCTTCTGGGGCGAGGGGGGAAGTGGAGACTGAACCGGCTCCTAGAACCAGAGGCAGGTGCAGGCGCCTGGTCCTGTCGGCCTCACGGAGCCACCCCTGCCCCTTCCTGAGGCCAGAGCCCGGGCCGGCCCCCCAGTCTGCACCGTGGGGATCAAGGCCAGGCCTGGGCTTTGGTGCTGGTGCCCTTCACTGTGCGCGGATGGCGACTGGGGCGAGAGCGGGAGTGTGAGCGTTTTATCATTGAAAAGGCCGGGAGTTTGAGCCCTACAGCCTCTGGCCACCCCTCTCTGGTGCTCCGGCCCCTCTGTGGGAGTCTACCTCCCCAGAGAGAGAGCTTGGCTGGGTCAGCCTCCACACCCACTGGGTCCCCAGACCATCCCCAGCCCTGGGCTCAGCACAGCCCTAGAGCTGTGGACCCCCACCCCCAGGTCCTGGTGGGTGGGGGTGCAGCCTGCAGGGTGGGCTGGGAATTGGGTGGGGACCTGGGGTTCTGGCTGCCCAAGGTCTAGTCTCCGGCCACAGGCACCTTTGTAGATGTTAAGGTGGGGAGCGCCCCAAAGCTGATTCACTCACTTCACAGATGGAGACCTAGGGGTGCAACCCAGCACCCCCAGCAGCCTCCACATCTCTCGAACACCCTCTCCAGCGGAGTGAGCTTGACCAACAAAAAGAAAATGCTTCCCTCTGCATTGCTAGGCTTTTGCAGATGGCAGGGTCCTGGGAGCCTTATCCCACTTCACAAGTGAGGGGAAGGTCCTAGCCTGAGGAGGCTTCAGTGGGGACTCCGGCAGGGGGAGGCAGGCAGCTGGGGTCAGCTCCCAGGCCCTCCCTCCTGTGCTGGGGACCACGGCGACTTGGTGGGGGTGCAGGGGGAGCTTGGATTGGCAGGGCTGCTTTTCCACCCGGAGGACCCTTGTGCTCCTGTTCTTAAAGGAACAATAAACTTGGGCCCACAGGGCCGGTGGGGGTGGGGTGGAGGCAGATATCGGCCCCTGCTGCCCCCTTTCTCAGGACCCACAGCCCTCGGCACCCTGTGGGTGTCCCCTGTGAGGTTCCTGTGGGAGCCCCTCCACAGACCCCAGAGCTACTCCTGCTACTGTGCACCCCCCATTCTCCCCCCTGTCTCTAGCCCAGCACCTAAGCCTACCCGTCTACTCCTGGACAGAGCCTCAGGAGGGGCTAGGAAGGCCAGGCCAGGCCGTGCAGGGGCTGCTTTCCTCCAGGACTTGCCCTTTTATCTGGTGACTTCTCCACACAGTCTGCCCTGCGCCCCACTCCACCCTCACTGGGCTTCGCTGGCCCATAGCCTTCTTTCCGGGGGTTGGGACCTGATGGTGGTTGCCAGCCCGCGCCCAGGCCCCCTAAATCCAGCCCAGAGACCTTGGTCGCCTCCCTCCCCAGCCTGCATCCCGGCACTGGTGGAGTGACCTGCGTCTGAGCCGGCAGGCAGGTCTGCAGCCCCTGACCAGCACTCTCTCCACGCTTCCCCAGGCCCCAGGTCTCGAAAACCAAAGAAGAAGAACCCCAACAAAGAGGACAAGCGGCCACGCACAGCCTTCACCGCGGAGCAGCTGCAGAGGCTCAAGGCCGAGTTCCAGACCAACAGGTACCTGACTGAGCAGCGGCGCCAGAGCCTCGCCCAGGAGCTGGGCCTCAATGAGTCGCAGATCAAGATCTGGTTCCAGAACAAGCGCGCCAAGATCAAGAAGGCCACGGGCAGCAAGAACACGCTGGCGGTGCACCTGATGGCGCAGGGCCTGTACAACCACTCCACCGCGGCCAAGGAGGGCAAGTCGGACAGCGAGTAGCCCCGTCTTCTCCCTGCGCGTCTCTGTGCGCGCGCAACAATGCAATAACTTAAAGTTATCAAAAGGGCAAGTGTACAAAGTTATACCAGCATTCCTAGTGAAAAGATCGTGTGTTAGCTATGGTTCTGCAATATTCTATGTGTATATAATTTACAGGTGATGTAAAATCCAAAATGTCTGACTATAAAATATTTTTTTTTATTTTTGTGTGTTTATGAGATTATGCTAATTTTATGATTTTATTTTTTTTCGAAAGGGGGCTGCTTAGGGTTTCATCTTTTTTTTTTTTAATCCCCTAAGTTCCATATGGGACATGGGACGCTTTTTTAATTTCAAAAGAAGAAAAATTAAAACAACTTGCTGAAGTCCAAAGATTTTTATTGCTGCATTTCACACAACTGTGAACCGAATAAATAGCTCCTACTTGGTCTATGAGTTCTGCCACTTTGTATGGTCGTGCCATGGGCAACAGGAGGGGCCGCTCCCGCCTCAGCCTGGCCTGGCAGGGCCCTGGTGGGGATGGGGCTGCAGGGTCCTTGGAAGAGCAGGGCCCTCTCGGGGGAGAGTGGCCATGCCTATTGCCAGGGCCTGTGCTAGGCAGGGGCCCACAGTGGTTCTCAGCTCACCACACGCAGCTCCATCCCTCCTCCGGCCTTCTCTCCCGCCTGCCTCCCACACCAGGCCCCTGAGTGCTAGTCTGCATCTGTATTTGTGTTGCTGTCCCCTGTCCCTCCGCCCACAGCTAGCGCCAACTCTGCGGCCTCAGCGCCAGGGCTTCGAGCAGAGGGGTGACCCTCCTCCCTCCAGCCCAGGCTCCGGCCTCTCCTGCTGCTCCTCCCGCCCCTCAGAAGCCTGTCAGGCCCCAGAAGTGGCGGAGGTCCGTCACCGCCAGGCAGGTAGAAGGCTCCTGACAGAGGTGGCCTCTCCTTGCTTTTTTTTTTTTTTCTGTTTTGTGCCCTTCCTTTTTTTGTAAGTCGTCACTTCTGCTACAGAGAGCATTCGAGGTGTGTACATATGTATGTAGGTGTGTACACACGGACAGGTGTATGCGAGCCCCCCGTCTGGGACACATGGCTACCTTGACTTTTAAAGGTTCTCTGAGTCCTCAGGGATCCAGAGGAAGGACAACGTGTAAATAACGATTTCTTATCACGTCTGTCTTTTGTTTTTAAATATACATTTTATTTTTTGAAGGTGTGGTACAGTGTAAATTAAATATATTCCATATATCCTCACCAAGTACATATATATATATAAACAAACACATTACCTTTCTATATAACGCCACACTGTCTTCTGTTTAGTGCACAGAAAAGAACCACGTCCAAGCGGTCCCACAGCCGGGACGCGGGGCCTTGCGGGCCCTGAGGACGGAGGGTGACTTTCTCTCTTTGCCTTAAACCTCTTTATTTTACGTTGACAACACTTTCACTCTGTACATAGTAGCGTAAACCTTTTTCAAAAGGAACTATAAAATCAAAAAGTTGTAATTTAACATTCTGTGAATAACCATCTGCTGCTTAGGAAACGCAATGAAATGAATGATATGCCTTTTTTGCAGGAAGCAAAGTTTTTCTTTTTTTTTTAGTTTGTAAAATGTGCATTTTACAGTTCCAGTATCAAATATTTATAATCTTATGAGAAATGAATGTTTCTGAATGTTTCTATCTCCAACTGTGGTTATCAAAATTGTGAACATTCCCTCTGCATTTTTGTGTGTTTAAAATCTTGAAAGCTACATTAAATAAAAATAACCCCAATTTATTGTAAAATATTGGCTGTCCAAGGTGGAATGACTAGTTTTCCTCAGTGTGTTTCTGAGGCCGGGCGACTCCAGGCCTCTCCCCACGGCCGGGCGCTGGTGTCTCTTTTTAAAATTATGAAGACACTTTGGATATTTCTATGTGAGCACAGAAAATATCAAAGTAATTTAGGTTCACATCTCTTGACCAGATGGAAGTGTTCAAAAGCATGGAGCTATTCCATTGAATAAATACTTACAACCCTACAGAAGGCAACAGGTAATCCCCCCACCCCCCACCCCCGCCCTGGCAGGGATTCTTCCTACTCAGCCAACAGAGGCGCTCCTCTTTTACCTTTTGTTGTTGCTTTTACCCCAAAAGTACAGGGTGAGGAAAACAACATCCCAAGTATATTCGGGAAAGCACCGGCCTTTCGGAGCTCACAAGGCCCCTGGGCCAGCAGGAAGCAGCGGGGATCTACCGCCAGGAGCCACGCTTGCGTCTGGAGCGCCAGTTGCTCCATTGCCAAACTTTCTTGGCTGGAAAAAAAGTTTTCTTCTCCCAGTAAAAGAAACTCGGAGACTACTCAGAGGGAATCTTCCAGGCTGTTCATTCCACACCAACGGCTTCCCGAGGACCCTGGGCCTGGGGCAGGCCGGATGCTCCCTGGATTTGCAAAGATGGGCTTAGTGAGGAGGCCCAGAGCACCAGGAGTGCCCCAGGGTCTTGGACAATAGGACGCCATACCCAGTGTCGCCCGCTTTTGCACAGCTCTGGGTTCCCAGATTTTAAAAAAAAGCCCACCAGCACAACTATTCCCCTATTGGGCTCTCTTCTAAATAAAAGGACAGTATAACAACATTAAACAACCATTTTGATTTTTCATCTGCAAATGGTAACACGATTACAGGCACGGTACGGTTTTGTAAGATAATGAGACCCCCATCCCCAGAGGCATGCAAGCAGATACCAGGTCTACAGTGGTAAAGGGAAATTTTCCTTTATTTCCCTTTTCTCTCCGGGAGGGGATGTAACTGAATGAGACGTCGGACCCTCGGAACGCTGAGGCTACTTTCGCTTCTGTTACTACATTTGTAAAATCAACAGCTCGCGCTCTAAGCTCTAACTCCTGGAGAAGCCCTGCGCCCAGCCAGCCGCTCCCACGCTCTCGCGAGGAGGGATGGAGACCCGAGCGAGGCCTGCAGGAAGGCGGGGCTCCTCCCTGAAGCCCGGCTGCCCTCCCCCCCGCCCCCGCGGTTCCCACCTGGGATCTGGGATATGGACCAGGACCCGGACGCAGCAGGAGACTCTGGGCACACAGTCCGGCTCCGCCCAACCCTCCCGCCCA